CGAAACAAAAAAACACCCCAATTACAAAACGATTTTAGAAACAAATTTTTTCTTGATCAAACAGGCCTAGCCCCGGAGTGTGGTGGAGGCTCCTTCTTTGGAGGCTTTTAAACAGAGGATGGCCATCTGTCAGGAGTTATTTGAATGCAATATTCCTGCTTCTTGGCAGAATGGAGTTGGACTGGATGGCCCATGAGGTCTCTTCCAACTCTTTGATTCTATGATTCTATAATTCTATGACATTTGGGAATTGAAATTGCTGGGATTTACTTACAATCAAAGAGCATTCTGAATCACACCAACAATAGAATTGGGCCAAACATCCCACACAGACCCACCCCCCCATGATCAACAAAAAGTACTGTGTTTTCTGATGATCTTTGGTAACCCCTCTGACATCTCCTCGCGATCCCCCCAGGGGTCCTGTCTCCCAGGTTGAGAAACACTGCTCCAAGGCTTCTTCGACACTGCCATATAATCCAGGTTATCAATGCACATAATCCAAATTATCTGCTTTGAACTGGATTATATGAGTTTACACTGCAATATCATTCAGTTAATGTATATAAATCTGGATTTTATATGACAGTGTAGAATTAGCCTAAGGGTTCTCTAGTATTCTCTCCTCTATCTGTAGTCATCTACACTGTGCAAATAATCCAGTTTGACACTACTTTAACTGCCATGGCTCAATGTTATGGAGTCATGGGAGTTGTAGTTTAGTGAGACACCAGCACTCATAGTCAGAGGAGGCAAAAGACCTTGTAAAACTAAAGCCCCCAGGATCCCGTAGCATTGTGCCATGTGAATTAAATCATTATCACTAGAGAACTCTAGCAAATAATTCTAAGTCCCTCACCAAACTACAAATTCCAGGTTTCACAGAGTGGAGCCATAGCAATTAATGGAGAATCACACACCACAAATCTCAGAAACGAATCCAGACAAAGAATAGCATTTGCGGTGTCTGGTGTACTTTAGGGTAGATGTGAGTCCTACCATAAACAACAAACTACAAGACAGAGGCAAGGAAAGAGAACATTTTGTCCAGAGATATATATGCAAGAATATCTAGAAAAGTATGCAAATTTAAGGTTCACCTTGGAAAGACGTTTTTCTCAGTTCTTTGTTACAGATTATAACTATGTAATAGAAGGTACAAAGAAAGAAGAAAGACAAAGAAAGTAAAGATAAAGATAAAGAGGATAAAGATAGTTTCCAATATTTCAGGCACACTTCTTTCCACAACCAATCCTTTCTGATCATTAAACATAAAAGTCTTTTTTCTCCATAAAATGTCCGAAAGAGTCCAAAAATGGTCCATACCTTGATAAGAGATTTTAACGTTTCACTTGACTTGATCTGCAGGAAATTCCCAATCAGGGGCAGAGGAGTTGGTCCTGGAGGAAGTCTCCCCTTGTGCAATTGTTTCCTCTTAGATGATATGATCAGATGGCAAGAAATAAAGAAAACAAGGAGAGAAATGAGTGTAGTAGCCCATTCCATGGTGCAGGTTGTCAACTGTCCTTCTCTTTTGGCACAGTGTGAACACTGGTCTCATCTAGCTGGGGCTTTATGGACTTTTATTGAGGTTGGTTGGGCACCGCCTTTTGTGTTTCATAACTGCTCAGACCTGGAGCACAAGTCAGCAATAAGAGCAGACAGAAACCAATCATATTGATCATTAACCTATGGAACAAGGAAAACATATCATTGTTTATTCCTTCATGGCAAGGGACTGGACATGACATGAATAGCCCTTGTGGTCTCTTCCAACTCTAGGATTCGGTAATAGTTTCTTTCCTGGTAGATCAGTGTTGTGGATATTATGTTCAGAAGGCATATGTGTTTTAAAGTTTGTACTGCAGCAGACACTCTAAGACAGTGGTTCTCAACCTGTGGGTCCCCATATGTTTTGGCATTCAACTCCCAGAAATCCTGACAGCTAGTAAACTGGCTGGGATTTCTGGGAGTTGTAGGCCAAAACACTTGGGGACCCACAGGTTGAGAACCACTGCTCTAAGATGTCTTAGGTAAATTACCCATTTTTAATAGCTGTAAAACACCAAAGGTTGCATTTACAATATACAGCTGCCCCTCCATAGCCACAGGTTTTACATCCATGGATTCAACCAACCATGGATCAAAAATATTTGGGGACAAAAATTCCAAAATGTACATCTTGGTTTTGCCTTGACACCAAGCATTTTCCTGATCTGTAGCCTTCTGCCATTTCAAAGACCCTCAAACTCTCTCTGGTTTTCATGTGAGTTGTTTGCTATCTTATATTTGGTTTATCATTCTACTCCATCATTAAAAATAATAGGACTTGAGCACCTATCCATTGGGCGGGGGCTTGAACCAAACTCTGGTGGGGTCCAATGTATATATTTAACACATCACTGAAAACAGATGCAATGTTGACTGACCTCTTTAAAAATTGCTGTTTTTCCATTTGTTTACAGCACTTCCTAATTTTCTTAGGATGATAAACCTCAGAAAAAAATAATAAGGAGACATGTAATGGCAAAGTCTGACTGTGTGTTTCAAATTTGGGGTTCCTGACCATTTGCTAACACTTGCAGGAATTTAAAAAGTACTTCAATATTTTGTTGTTGTTAACACAATAAAACCTGTGCACTTGGTGAAAGCCACAGTTTGAGAAGATGTACAGCTTTCCAAAATAAAAAATGCATTGATCTCATTGTCATATTTTCATTCTCCCTGCTTCAGTACAGTTTCTGGACTCTTTGAATGCCTGGGAGGGAAAATGGCAATGGAGATTATTTGGTGGCTCCCCTCAAAGAAACACTGAAAGAGTGGAGAGAACAAGTGCTTCTTTCAGTTTTGGAAAAGGCTCTTGCCTTAGAGAACAGGATGAACCATTTTGCTTGGTTAATACTATATGTATGTAAATAAACACACATACATACATGCTGTGTGTATATACATATAGTATTACACCTTCCCTCAGGTGAGGGTACCTTAGAATCTCTAATACAATAATGAGAACAAAGTTTGGCAAAGCACCCGGACCCGATGGTATCACAACAGCATATTATAAATGGAGAATTATAGCCTATTACAAATGGAGAATAATAACTTACGTCCTAATCTCTGAAATGTCCATACTGTTTCCAAGGGACAATCACTCACCTTGAGAAGAGGGTTTATGGTTTCTGATTACTTGATCTGTATGAAATTCCCAAATAGAGCAAGAGAGTGGGTCCCTTAGGAGAACTCCCTTTGTGTGATAGTTTCATCATAGCTGGTGGAATAACGAGAGAAAAGGTAGATGACAAAACAAGAAGGTAACAGCACCACACAACTCCAAGGTGCAGGTTTTCTGGTCATGTATCCACTCTAATCAAAGTTCCTTGTATTTTACCAACTGTGGATTTCTTTGGTAGGATGTAATGGTCCAGAAGCAAATATGTTGAATGCTCTGCCTATGAGATGTAAGTCAAATTCACTCAACTCTTCCTTGGTTAGCCAGTACTGTGGCTGTTGGGTTCAGAGGAGAAGATATGGATTTGCAGTTCGTAGTTTCTACAGATAAAAGGATTAGCTTTCATGGATCTCAGGAATGAAGATCCACCACAATGTAACCCTAGAATACATTACAGTTCTGCTAATCCAGATTTATACTCTGTCAGAGCCTTTACTGGATCTTAGTGTAGACTTGTTGCACATCGATGTGTTGAGACACAGCAGCATTCACATGGGAAAGTATCCAAATCCCATTCTAAATTGTTTATACAGTTAACACCTAAAGGGTATTTTCAGTCAAATATGTTATTCAGAACTCATCTGCATCTGAGGTATGTAATCAGAGGCGGCCCTAGGTAATTTTCAATGGTAAGCAAACAGTATTTTGCCTGCCCCCCCCCCCCAACCAATCACTGATATATATTTTCTGTTCGTCATGGGAGTTCTGTGTGCCATATTTAGTTCAATTCCATCATTGGTGGAGTTCAGGATGCTCTTTGATTGTAGGTGAACTATACATCCCAGTTACTACAACTCGCATATGTCAAGGTCTATTTTTCCCCAAGAGCGCCCCTGGGCAAAATCAACTATACTGCAAATGCTTACATTGCGTAATGGGTTGAGCCACCCTTGTATGTAATACAACCTGACTGTTCCGGGTTTTTCCCCCTGTTACTTCTAAATCCTGCTATGGAGATACCAATAAATACAGGACCTGTGACAGACAAGGATCAGCTATTAGTGAAAGTTACCAGTCAGTCAAAACTTTAACCAGTAAAGTAACAATGCCTCCAAATGATTAACATGTAAGGTGCATTACTGATGGTTTGGAGACTGAGAAAGTTATATCTTTTCACTTTAAAAAAACCTGATGTGGTATAACAATTATTTATTTACTTACTGTACTTACTTATTTCATATGCCATCTTTTCCTATAGAAGGATCTACAATGGCTTCCAAGGTTAATAACCAAAGACAAACTTCAGCAACAAAAGTAATTTCTTACGTTAGCCATCACGCCCTTAACAATTTTCTCCCAGGCATGGGGGTGGTACCTTATATCATGGTGGCATGGTACCTAAAAGAAATGGCAATTTGTAATGTCGTAGTGCTAGTCAATTGAGGCTGAGGGCTAAGAAATATATCCCATGCCACTCTCAGAGCAGATGAGCACCCAGCTCCTTTGAGAACAATGATCTTCCAGATGGGAGGATAGGATTGAAATGAAAGTGTATCAATGGCAGGAAAGTGGGACACAGAAAGAGCCTCCCCTAGTGTGATAGTTTCTTCACAGCTGATAGGATGACATGAAAGGACAGGTAGATAACAAGAAAGAAGGATGTAATAATGCAGAAGCAAAAATATTGACTGCTCTGCCTGTGAGATAGAAATCAAATTTGCTCAGCTTTCTCCCTCTTTAATCAGTGCTGTGATTACTGGGTCCTTAGGAGATATGGATTCGCTGTTTATTGTTTCTGCAGATTAGAGACTTAGTTTTTTGGATTGTAGGAATGAAGATCCAAGGCCCAGCTTAACTTTACTTGGCTTCTTGTTACACCATACAAATGCTGCTAACATCCTCCTCTCATGGCACACAGCCCAACACTTTTTGTGTTAGATTGCAGCATTGCAAGTTTCTTAGATAGGTGTCAGTCCCGGTGAACTATGTCTTCTTCTCGTCAAAAATATTGGTTAAACATGTACAACATCAAAACTTGGTAACTTCCATTGTGTCAGCTTTTGATGCTATTGCAATGTAATAAATTGGTGGAAAGGTAGGTAATGATAGGGTGAATAAATTGTCAAAATTTGGTTGAGATAGTGCTTGTAATTCTGAAGGGACTTCTTGTAGACTTAGCACTGGGATTTGATTGACCAGTTAATATTCAGGAGTAAACCAGGTTTTTTTTTCAATCTGAAAATTTTCAGTGGTGGTTTCAACCCGTAAACCTTTGCCACCCCCACCCCTGTCTTGGCTACAAACTTGGCTGGATAAGCATATCTTGTCTCTCACTTTGGGATTCCTCAGCTCATGGATACTATTGGTTGGGGGCCTGAATGCTTGGACGGGCCCAAATGAGACTAACTCTGTTATTCAAATATAGGACAAAACTGGGCTTTTTAGAGAGATATGTTGTGGTTTGCAAAGCCCATCAAGGCATAGTAAAAACAATGGTGTAAACTTTGTGGGAGCCTGTTTAAGGCTCCTTGCTTATAGATTGAATTTCATAATAATACATGGAATAGTTGAAAGTGACTACCTAGGGAATTTTGCATACATGGCAGGGACTAAGACAATTTGATTATATTATGTAATATGATTTTTGTTCCTCAGTTATATATATCATTTCATAATTGGTTCTATCATAAAAACATGGAACAGGTTTATTAAACTGCAAAAAAAAAATTTCAATGAAGGTCAAAACCCAATTGGTTAAAAAAACATCACCACCTCCACCCTAAATGAGTAACATGTAAACTGGATCAGAGGACTTTAAAAAGGAACATCTTACATTTTATACAAAACTGAAAATGTGACACAATATTTATATATTTGTGTGCTTACTGCCTTATCTACTTATTTTATATGTCACCTTTTCCTGCAGCAAGACCTAAGTTGGCTTCTAAGGACAGAATCCAAAGACAACATTCTCTGACAAAAGTACGGTTGTAGTCACCTAAATAAAAAATTACTCCAAAGTATAGGGCTGGTAACTTATTCATTGGTGGAATGGTGCCCAAAACAAATTGCAATTTGTAATGTAGAAGTACTAGTGATTTGAGTCTGAGGCTGGGCTGTACATCCCATGCCACCCCAAAAGTAGGTGACAACCAGTTCCTTTCAGAACAATCATGTTCCATGTGCGGGGGAAAGCAACTTCAAAGTCAGTGTGAGATGACGCAGAGCTGATAAAAGGGTGGGATGTTGGCAAAACCAGTCATCTGAGGAATGAGGTCAATATCTTCAGGGAACATAAGGGACTTGAATTGGAAATTCTGCAGGATGGTGGTGAAGAAGAGGAAAAGCTCCATGCGGCCCAAACCTTCACCCAAACAGACTTCTAAGCATTAAATAAATTAAGCTCATTTCTGAATAAACTCTAAAATTCTTTTGGGGTGACTGTACAACTTTTGGGGTGACTGCGCAACTTGAACTCAGAATTTGGGCTTTCTCTTGCTCTCAATGGCTTATGTGCCTATTAGGGCTGGGCGGTTTCATTTCGTAATTTCGTAAAATTCGTTATTTTTTTGGCTACGAAGCGATAACGAACCATTCAGGAGCATCTAAAAAACGAAACGAAATTTTCAATTCGTTTCGTAACTGCTTCGTATTCGTTTCGTATTCGTTTCAAAATCGTTTCGAAATCATTTCGTTATTATTTTCGCATGTCTGGGGCAAGTTTTATAGCTGTTGTTTGTTTAATCAGTGAATTTTTTTTATAAATATCACACCAACAGTCAACAACAGAGGGAGAGGGAAGCTTCAGAAGTTCCCCCTGTCCCATATGGAGGTTTTTTAGCATATTGCGCTGTCGCGTCCGCCATTAACGAATCGATTCGTATTCGTTTCGTATTCGTTTCGTATTCGTTTCGTAATTTTACGAAATTTCGTAAATATAGAACTTTTTTAAAGAAAAATTTCGGAATTCTTTTAAATATCGAAACGCAAAAAACCCCAAAAAACGAATCGAGTTTAGAAACAAATTTTTCCGTGGTTGCCCAGCCCTAGTGCCTATGTATGCTGAAGCTACCAACCTAACAAGCATTTGGGACTGTTTCCTTACTATATTGGGACTTTGACTCTTCAGTTGCTAGGGAGATCTTTGTTTGTTTAACCAGGACTTGGCATAACACAACAGTTGGATTAAATTTTGTATCCAATAAGACCTAACCTTCTGAGGAGGAACAGTGACACGAACCTTGCATGAAGGTATAACACTAGGGAGTGCTCATGGGAGAAAGTGGAACAATCAGTGTGCTGCTGTTACAGGAACGGGGACTTGAAACACTGGGCTGGGAGATGGTATCAGCTGGGTTTTGATTAAGGACCCCCTTGTGGATATCACACTCTATGGATGCTCAAGCCCCATTGCATTCATTGGTGTAATAAAATGATGTCCCTTACATAAAACAATCAAATCCAGATTTACTTTTTGGAATTTCTTTAATTTTCAAGTTGTGGATGGTTGAATCCATGGGTACAGAGGGCTAACTAGACTGCCTAACTCCAGAATCAAAGTGGTTATGAACGTATAACTGTTCTCACAAATTCTAAATTTCAAATTGGATAATTTCAAGGCAACTTAAATACTTAATAAGCAATAAATAGACATAACTAAATTAAGAGTCATCACCATCTTGTGATTCTTCAGAAAATAGGAGGAATGCTAGAAACGAATCCTTGTTACCCAGCTGGGAATACAATATTTACAATTTTTTTTTTGTTTTCTTAGAATACATCAATACCTTCAATAATCTTATATTCCATTCTCAATTCATTACATCAACCAAAGTGTATATATATCTTGTATACTTTTTCCCCCACCTCTGTGTTCCCATCTACTTCTTTTAAGCCATTCTCAATAAATTTTCCCAAAACTTTACCAAAATCATTTTCCCTCCATACCTCTTTCCTGACTCTTAACCTACATGTCAATTTATCATTTGTTGCTATTTTCTATAATTCTTTATACAATTCTTCAATTGATATGTCTATTTTACCTTTCCAATTCTTCGCTATCAATAATCTTGCTGCAGTTAACATGTTATCTATTGCATCTTTCTCTGTTTTTTTTTCAATTTCTTAACATTATATACAATGCAATACTTGCACTTTTCCCTATCTTTATATCCATTATAGCTTCTATCTCTCCAAATACCTTCCCCCAAAATTAATTTACATATTTACATTGCCACCACATATGTATATATGTACCCACCTCCTGGAAACCTCTCCAACAATTTTTTGTGGAATTCCTATTAATATTTGCAATCTTTACTGGTGTTAAGTACCATTTCCAAACCAATTTGTAATAATTTTCTTTAACACGTATCAATACGTTCTTTAACTATCTTTGATCCCATAATTGTACCCAATCCGCTTCTTTTATTCTATGAGAGTCTAATATCTCTAAATTCTGAATATAGTTTCCTTCCTCATGTTTGCTTTTATCCAATCTCCAATTCTATCTATATTCTTCTTTCTTAATTTTTTATCTAATATACTGGGAATACAATATAATAAATATTATTATTATTATTATTATTATTATTATATTACCTCAGGACAAGAAGACCTAAAAAGGAGGTAAAATCCAGAAACCATATATATTTCTTTATACCAAAAATCAGCCCTCTTTCTGAGAGCGAGAAAACAGAGAAAGTCCCCTTCTTTCTTGTGGAGTCTGTCAATGCAGCTTCTGCAAGAGTCCCAGGCTGAGGGAGAAAGGGACCTCAGGGTCAGCGTGGGATGGCGCAGAGCTGGTAAAAGGGTGGGATGTTGGAAAGGCCACTTTCTTGAAAAGTGAGGTCAATATCTTCGGGGGGCACAAGGGACTTCAAATGGAAATTCTGCAGGATGGTGGTGAAGAAGAGGAAAAGCTCCATGCGGGCCAAGCCTTCACCCAAGCAGTTTCGTTTCCCTGAAATAAAAACATGAGAATTTCCCAGGAAGTAAGGACAGACACATTTAGCTATCTGTAATCAGATGCCTCCTAAGATGCAACAAAAAAAGTTATTTCGACTCAAATCCCCTTGTCTTGTCCATATCATATCTGGCTTAGTATGATGTTGCCCTTTCAACCAGCCATCTCATTGTTTTATATCTACTCAGAAAAGATTTCCTTTCTATCCAACTTGCTATGGGTTTGCAGTTGATCTCAACCATTTCGATTAACCATTTCAGCCACCCTTCTATGGTATTTTGGATGGCCCATTGTTCATTTAGGGAAACCTAAGTGTGGTGTCTCTAAATTTAAAGGCAGCCAAAATAATTTCTAAATGTGTCGAGCTTGA